TGATTTTGAAAAAAATTCTTATTCTCACAATATTTATTTTTATCTTTGACATTTATGTTGTAACATACGAAATATGTTACATTTCACATAAAAAAATTGTTAAATACACGGGTTTAATGCACCAAACCCCCTCGTGAAATATAAATTCAGCGCATTAGCCCCATGTGATTTAAAAAATGCATCAAACCACACTGTGTTATAATTAATCATGCGCCAAACCCCCTCCAAGAACAAATTCAATTTCCAAAAAAAATAAAAATGATTAGTTTTTTTATACCGATCCCTCCCTCCATTTCACTTTGGCACACAATTTAAGAAAAGTGGGTATTGTGTGGTGGAGAATTGTGTAGAGGAGAGAGAAATGTGTAAAAAATATTGTGAACCATAAATTCTTTACCGAAAAGGGAAAGTGGAAGTTTAGTTGGAACGGATGGAAAAGGAAAGTTGGAAGATATAATAGGAACGGAGGGAGTATATTTTAGAAATTTTGACAAAGTTACTTGCATATTCAACCATATTATTAAAAAAGTGATTTTAAAATTGTAAAAATTTGTTCTTGAAGGGAGTTTTGCCATGATTAATTAAAACACAGGAAGGTTTGACGCATTTTTGAAATCACAAGGGCTAATGCGCCAAATTTATATTTCACGAACGGGTTTGGCGCATTTAACCCTTAAATGCACACTACCTTTATTTTTGTCTTTGACATTTATGATGCACAACTTTGATCACTAATATATACGTAGTATTATTTTCTACTAGTAAAAAAAAAATTTTTTTAAATTAATTATTGATACATTAATAATAAAGTGTAGTCAAAATAGAACATGTTAATAGTGTAAAAATTCAATATGTTCCATTTATTTAAGAACAAAGGTAATATTATTTTATGGAGTACTATATTTTGACATTTTTTTCAATATATGTTGTTGAATTGAATTTGGTCCCACCTGAATGTGAATGCTAGATCCGCCCCTATTTGGTAGTACAATTTTCATGTAAAAAAGAGCGTTCTAAAGATGAGTTGAGATTTGAAAAAAATGGATGACAATAATCCCAATCTGACAGATAGAGAGTGGTGCTCTGTCTCCGGTACTTGCAGAGTCACTATGCATTTTTTAGCATAGTAACTCCTCATCGCAGTTGTCGGGATTCGAACCCGACACCTAACCTTTGTAACTCATCATCGCAGTTGCCGGGATTCGAACCCGAGACCTAACTTTTGTGACACTCCCTTCCTACCAGTTGAGCTACGCCCACCGGTATGAGATGAGATTTGGATTCTTTATTATGTGCGCAGCCTGATCGACTAGTTTCTCATTTCACGAGTCATCCTAGACTCGTAACCTCTTCTATATGATAGATTTGTTATTTGTCCATCCAAATTTTGTATAAAAAAAATAAGAAAATGTATAGATTTTGAATTATTCCTATTTGATAATAATAATGATTTGCAGTCTCTAAAATTAGATACTCCGTATAATAATTGTTATCTATGCACAACTTATTGTTATCTATGCACAACCTATTATAGATACATTGATAAAAGTGTAGGTGAAGATGTTTCTTATATTAGTGTTTCAAAAAAACCTTTATCAACAATAGTCCATGCGTACATTTAAGCCGACTTCTCCCAAAAAAAAACAATAGTCCGTACATGCAATCAAGAAGAAATAGTCAGAAAAATTATGTTAATTAAAATTAAGTGAGATTCTCTCTAGCGGATCCGCACAACCAGGAGAATGCTGGATTCTGAATGTAATAGTGATTAGCCCCGTTTCACTTACAAAAAATGACACGCCTTTACACATGTATACAACCTGATTATTTGTGGTATTATTGTATAGACAATAATGTCGATAATATTTGGAAAATAATCTCTAATTGTTTTATCAATATGACAGACAATTTGGCGTGTGCAAGGGCATTTACACATTAAAAAAAGGACACCCCATCCCTGAGGGTCCCCAACATCGACCGGACAGTTAGACTGGAGGATATAAATTGGACTTTAATTACAATTCGACAGATAGAGAAGGGGACTCTGACCCTGGTACTTACGGAGACCCTATACGTTTTTAATATACTCACTCCGTCCCTTATAACTTTGCCAACTTTCCTTTTTCGGTTGTCCCAAAAACTTTGCCACTTTCCCTTTTAATCAATCAATTTGTGACTCATGTTATTTCTCTCTCCTCTGCTCAAATCTCTACCACACAGTTTTTACTTTATTATTTTACGTGCCGGTCAAACTTGGCAATCCTTTTAGAGACGGAGGGAGTAGTAATTTGTCATCGCAGTTGTCGGGATTCGAAAACGAGAATTGACATTTACACATAACACATGGTGATATGGGGACGTCTTGTACACCAAGGATAGCTATTTAATGAGGTGTACTCTCCAACGGGTGCAGCTTCTCTCCATTTTTTCTTCTCCATTTCTCATCCATTTCTTTTTTTCTTCCCATCTCTCTCTACCTTTTTCTCTATCTTACTTATTTATCCAAATTCCTCTCCAACAGCATCCCAAATTCCATAGATGCATTTTAATTTATACGAGTACTCCGTAATAAAGACATCATATTAAATGCCGACAAAGCAAAACTAATATTGTGTACAAAGTATATGCAGCACCTGTTTTCATATGCGATGCATTGAAATAATATCATAGTATATCTTGTTGGGGGAGAAAAAAAGTCAATCTCATACCACTAATTTCTATATGTTTGCACAGTGTTTGTATAATTTACTCATGTATTTGATACCATGAGATTAATTATGTTACGTTACACAAGCTAGTTTCAAGATGTTATTAACTTTTTTTAATTTTAATCTAAATATTAAAAGTGGTCCAATCAGGGGCGTAGCTGGGGGAGGGTCAGCCCAAATTTTAAAAATTTCATATAAAAAAGTTTTCAAAAATTTTCCTTGTACCGACTCAGTCTGACTCATTGTTCTGCCCCGCTCCTGTTCACAATGGTACATGAGATTACGTTAAAAAAGCGTGAAAATCACTGATTGATGGCGGTGGAAGGTTACTAATTAGGACCTTCCAATATGATTGCAATTGTAATCACTGATTGATTTCAACTTTATACTCCCTCCGTCTCGTTGGAATGTTCCTGCTTTCCTTTTTGGATGTCCCGTTGGAAAGTTCCCATTTCCCTAAATAGAAAGTTATTCTACATCAAAACAGGGTCAAACAGTGCAAAACAGTCTCAAACAGTGTCGAAACAGTGCCAAACAGTGTCAAAACAGTAAAATTTAGTCTCTAGTAAATTTATTTCCTTAATATGTGTGTAGGTCAAATCGGGAACATTCCAACGGAACGGAGGGAGTATATGATTAATAACATGCTTTTGATCAATGAGGCTTTATATTAGATTCTCTAAAAAGGATAGGGTAGTATGGAGGCGGGAGTCTTATACGGAGTACCGTTTAGTTTGTTGGCCGGTGATAATAGAGTATTGGAGTGTATTCATTTTTCATGAATTTGTTACAGTAACATATTTAAGAATTCATTTAGTTGGGAAAAGGGTCAAATAAGCCCTCGAACTAATCGGAAAAGTGCAAATCATTCCTTTTATAGGAGATTCTGTCCGGCCATTGCCATTTGGGACGGTTCCCGATAGAATTTTATGATGATTTTTTTAAAACATCTTCTTCATTAAGTCTAGTTTACTCATACCAGATTTGAGCTAAAAATGTAACTGGGAAGGCAGTCGAATAAATGTTTGAAGATAACTGCGCAGTTAAACAGCGCATTATATTTCAGAAAATTATTTGAGTGCCTTCCCGGTTGTATTTTTAGCTCAAATTTGGCATGAGAAAACTAGACTTAATGAAGAAGATGCTCAAAAAAATTCCATCGAAAATCGCTCCAAATGGTGATGGCCGGACAGAGCCTCCTATAAAAGGGTGATTTGCACTTTTTCGTTTAGTTAGAGGGCTAATTTGCACTTTTTCCCATAATAGTTTATTGAGTTTCCTCAAAAAAACATTATTTTGGAATATTAATTTTTTTAGAGGTGATGAAATTGAAACTAAATTGCTAAATTCAAAAGTTAGGGATATGTGTAAACTAGAATTAAAAAAATCATTTATCGCGTTTTTTGCTACATTTATCCCAAATTTTGTATCATTCTCCTATTTTTTTCTAGAAACAATTCATTTTGAGAAATTAATGCATCTTTTTGCTAGTAACTCAAACTTGCTCATACTAACTTCTCTCAAATTAAATTCTGTGTGCGCTATTAAAAAAAGTTAAGATGCATTTGATCCGATATATCTATGGGGCACAACGTTACTCTCAAGTATTTAGAGCCCGTTTGGTGACCTTGTTTTTCGGTTTATCAGGCTTATTAGCCGACTTTTTCAACAAACACGTAACTTTTGATTTCGCGCGCTGAGTTGTGTAGTAATAAGAAAAAGTAAGATTGAAGTTACCTTTCTAGCTGTATTGGCTGAAATTACTGTAGAAGATCATTTTAACTATTTTTCATATATTTTTTTCTTTATTTTATTAATGAAAAATATTATAAATATAATTTTTTATAAATCAGCAGAAGCAGCCACTTCAGTCATAACTTCAGAAATTTCAGCAGAATGGGCCGATTCATCCAATTTCAGTGTTACCAAACGGTCTTTTAATGTGTGAATTCTAAGACACAAATTGAGGGAGCATTTGTAAGCTTATTTCTGTTTTTTTTTAAAATAAAAATATTATTAAAATGAAACATATTTATAAAAACTTGACTAATTATTATGGAGTACTATAGTATAATTTCTTAATCTTTTAAATGTTAAAATTAAATATAAATTATTATTACTTAGTTATTATTATTATAGTTACTAAATTTAAGTATATTTCATTTTTGTAAGTAACATTAATTTTAATTTTAATTGTATATATGAAGTTATTTTAAAAAAATAATTTTGAAAGGTTTATGCTTTGAGAACGTTGCACGGCCATCAGATGAAGACCCACGCCCGACCACACTATCCGAATTGAACGGTGATCCGCACTTCTCTCTTCATTTCTTTCGACAAAGAAGAAGAGAGAGCTAAGACTCGGGGGTTCCTCGGAATCGCGCCTCCCCTCCGCCTCTCTCTGTCTGTATCTCTTCTCTTTCAAATTCTTTTGCTTCTTCTTCCCGAATCTTCCCCAGATCAAAGAGAAGAAACCAGGAGAAATTGAAAGAAAGGATTCCCCATTTGGAAAAAACGGTTTCAAATCATTTAGTTATTGGCCGGAAAATGGAAATCGACAGCATTGAGTGCGTATCATCCTCGGATGTCATGGAGGAAGAAGAGACCCCGTCATCCTTGCGTCATCATCCCCACCATCATCGTCATCAACACATCCCTTCTTCCACAAATAAGCCTCACCACAGTAATTTGTTTCCTGCCGGAATTGCCCCCACCAGTGTTCATGAATTGCTGGAATGCCCCGTTTGCACCAACTCCATGTACCCTCCCATTCATCAGGTTCTTGCATTTTTTTTAATTTGATTTTAATACTCTCCCGATAATTCACCCCCTGTGGATTAGACGGAACATTTCCAGCTATGCTTGTTTAATTAGCATCTCAATAAGTCAATAGTATTATAGTAGCATGTGTTTATGGTAGAACAATTGTTGGTATAGATGAGGGATTGGCTGAAGCTTTTTGGTGTATTCTTAGCTTATTCCAGGAGAATTACAATATTTAAGGACGTGGGCGTTATCTAATGCGGATTAGTAATATTTTGCTTCATAGTGAGAGGGAAGGTTTAGGTTCCGTTTGGAACCAACAAAAAATTCAGTGGAAGAAAAGCAGGAGAAATACTAAACATTAATATTTGTTAAAAATTAATAAATTTACAGGATCTAAACATACCCTAAGGGTCTATTTGGAACTGGGAAATGATAGGAATAAAATATAGGCAGCGAAATGGAGAAAAAAATTGATGGGAAAGATGTGAGGGAAATAAAAATATATATGCTGGCTGCAAACTCAATATATCAATTTTAGATATTTATTCACTCTTTTTCTTTAAGTATTTTTTGTTATATAAAGAAGAGAAAAGGTGCAAATAAACCCTTCTCGTAAGCCTCTATACTAAAAGAATGTCAAAATCTATACTTTTTTGCATTTTTTGAGTTATTTTTATATTCTACATTTTTTAAAGTGTTTACATATTTAACTTTATATTTTTTACATTTTCAGTTTATTTTTTCATTTTTTTATTTTGTTTTGACACTTTTGCATTTTATATTTATTTTGGGGTTTTTAGTATTTTTATATTATTAAATTTTTATGTTTTTCAAATTTATTTTATTTTTTATTAGGTTTATCATTTGTTTTTATTATGTTTTTCAAAAATAACCTGCTGAATCAAAATGGTTGGATTGATTGTTTTTTAGTTAGAGATTGGAGTGATGGATTTGAAATAATACAAGGATGTATTTGAACCTTTTCACTCTAAAGAATAAGGAATACATATTTCTGTAAAATCTTAACAGTTTGTGAGTCAAATTTGATTTGATTTTCCTTCACATTTCCCAATGTAAAATTAAACACAGCAAAATAACTTTCTGTGATAAATTTTCTTCTTCTTTCATTTTCAGGGATCTCATCCAACATATCCTAAAATTTTGCCACTTTTCATGGATCTCATTCAAACACATCCAAACATAGTCTAATGGATGAATCAGTTTTGTTTTGGTAAAGTTTGGTTAAAAGTGAGTAAAAAAAATATTATTATTTTATGCAAAAAGAATGAAAGAACTAATATGTAAAGTAGTATAAATACAGCTTAAAGGAAAAAATCTATTAAAAAACAATCATAAGACAGAATATTTCCACTAATTAAAAACAAATAAAAACATGTGAAAATAAAGATATTCTCATTAAGTAGAAGAATCTTAGACATGATTAAATATTAAAAAAAGCTGATTTTCTTCTTCTTTTTAAAGGCTGAAATCATATTTCCCAAATCTCAATCATGCTCCAAATATTGAAGGCTAATAATGATCTCCCTTTTCATAGTGCCACAATGGTCACACGCTGTGTTCAACCTGTAAAGTAAAGGTACACAACAGATGCCCTACTTGCAGACAAGAGCTTGGTGATATTCGGTGTTTGGCTTTAGAAAAAGTGGCAGAATCCCTTGAACTGCCCTGCAAATATTTTTCATTGGGGTGTCCAGAAATATTTCCATACTACAGCAAGCTTAAACACGAGGCAGTTTGCAATTTTAGACCGTACAATTGCCCATATGCGGGATCGGAGTGTCCTGTCACTGGGGATATACCTTACCTTGTTTCTCATCTAAGGGACGACCACAAGGTTGACATGCACACAGGATGCACTTTCAACCATAGATATGTTAAGTCTAATCCTCGAGAAGTGGAGAATGCCACGTGGATGCTCACTGTAAGTTGACCCTACTCCCCTACTTCCTTTATTGGGTGGATCAAGGGCACTCATTTCACCCCATTTTTTTACTTGTTTCTGTTCATGGTATCATATACTGATATACGTTTACTGGTGAAAGTCCTCTTTTGTCTTTCATTTTCTGACTGAAGAATGTGTAGATACTGGGGTTACATACCTTTGATTAATGAATTGAGGGTATCTGCTTAATTTACCTGTGATTCTTGGGTCAATGTACTTTTGTTTTTCACATAGCTTTACAGCTTTTTTGAGTTTTGCATTGCTGATGATTTCTTTTCTTTAAGAAACACAATAACTTTAATGCACTTTAGGGTCCATTTGGAAACAGAACAAACTTGATGAGGAAAATAGAGAGGATAATGAGAATAAAAGAAAATGTGGGCGAAAGTATAAAGGTTTGACTCGAAATTTATGATAAATCGCAGTGAGACTTATGCCCAATAAATTTTTATTAAATATTTGTTTTGTTTGTTTGTTTGTTTGTTTGTTTGTTCATTCGTTCCGGTTTTATAGTGACTAAAAAGAAATCTAAGTAAGATTTTTTTAAAAATTTATTCTCCTTTGTGTTTGGCGAGCACAAGTAAATAACTCTCCTGAGTTTTTTTTCCATTTCGGCACCAGTTGCCATGATCCATGCACAGCCTTAGTAATAGGTGTAGGAAATTTCTTGTCCAAATGCGCTTTCTGATTTCTTCCAAAAAGGATGTTGGTACTACACCGTGTTTAGCCTTAATTGATACATGGAGGAAAACACGGGCTAAAAGGAAAATTCCTCCTTTTCACAATCAGCTACTGTTCTAGTGTTTGATAAAAAAAAACTTTCAGAATATTTGCCATTGACTCATTAAAATTCAAAAGAGCATTCAGCACCACTTTTCTCTTTTTCCAATTATGTTCTCCTCAGCTATCAGCTGAAGTCATTTATAATAATTTAGGTATTAATTATCAGGGCAACTTATGTTTTTCTCATTCGCATTAGTTTGTGACTTTGTTCATACTTCATTCAGGGGGTGGGAGAGTTGTTTGCTTTCATTAGTTCAACTGCATCTCTAATAACCATTTGTCAATATGTATTGATTTTAAATACTAGAGTAACTGGTAATTGTGATGCAACCAAATAAAGACATTTTGTGCGTAACAATTCCATTAATACTCACCCTTCTTCTGGTTGTTAGGTCTTCCATTGTTTTGGACAATACTTCTGCCTACATTTCGAGGCATTCCAGCTCGGGGTGGCCCCGGTTTACATAGCCTTTGTGCGGTTTATGGGTGACGAGACCGAGGCCCGCAATTACAGCTACAGTCTGGAAGTAGGAGGGATGGGTAGGAAGCTAATTTGGGAGGGAACCCCTAGAAGTATAAGAGACAGCCACCGGAAGGTCAGGGACAGCTTTGATGGACTTATCATTCAACGTAACGTTGCTCTCTTTTTCTCTGGCGGCGATAGGAAGGAACTTAAGCTTAGGGTCACAGGGCGGATTTGGAAGGAGCAACAGAATCCCGATTCCGCCTCCGTTTGTATACCCAATCTTTGTTTGTAGCACCACTTGAGCCCCCCACTCTGCTTGCATGAGTGTGAGTGTGACACTGTTAATTATTATTGACGTTATTTATGCTATGTGAAGATATATCTTTTCCTCCATTTTTCTTGTTGAATTTCGTATAAGCTTTGTAAGTACTTGGGATTTCTTAAAGAAAAAGGTTGAGGTTTAGAGAACAAATAAAATAAAATTCGCCACATCAAGTGAATAAGTGAGGTTGAATTGATCTAAAGGTAAACTTGAGATGATTCAACAGTTCACTCGACTATATCCTAAATTCCTAACCTTCTATTTGTAGTACTAGTATCACTGTCTTAAGAAAAATATCCTAGAAACCCTCATTTTATGGAAAGTGGCCTCTTTATTTTAATCATCAATATCATCCGCCAATCAGCTTTCAATGTAATTTGAAGGAGAGCTAAGCCAATCTCTGTAATCAGACAAAAAAATGATTACCCTAACAATCATGTGAGCAAACTGATGTGAAGGTAACTCATGATCAATGACTATGAGTTTCTTGATCCAACATGTGCTAGACATGTTCATTTTGTTAAGGATGGTTTAACAAAATAGGAGTAAATGGAGTCCAGAATTTCAAAATGGATTACTATGTGAAAGGGGAAAGACGTAAATATACCCCTAGAATACATGTGAAAGTGCATATACCTCTGAATTTTAAAAAGGTGCCAAAATACCCCTAATATTTCTATAAAAGAGCAAATTTACTCTTATTGACTTTAAATAAATAATACTCGTATAGATTTATAAAAAAAAAACAAATCATATATTTAAATTTCGAAAATGATAAATAAATAAAATAAAGAGTTAAAGATTTATTTTTTAAAATATTAAATCTTTAATTTTAAATTGCAAAATTATTTTTTCTGCCATATGAATGAAGCACTTCGAATTCATAAATATTAATTTTAGTCTTCTTGCGAAATCGCGAACACATCATTATATATTTTGAAATAACGTTATTTGGTTTTTTTTAAACTTAATAAGATGAAATTCACTATTTTGTAATCTTGTACTATTTATTAATTATTATCATATAAAATATGTAACTTTATAGTGTATAGAAAATTAAAAATTAATGATTTTTTACATTGCATCACATATGTTAACACCATTGTGAAAGAATCATAAAATAAAGTAAATATAATATTACAATTGAGGATATCTATTTTGTAAATAAAAATAAAACAAATATAAGCTGTGAAATTAAGATGGTAAAATCCAGTGATTTTGACTAGAATTGCAACAGTAATTCTAATCCTTTAAATAATGATCTCTTCACTTGTGCTTATCTCAATTTTAAATGAGATCATGTGTGATCAGATTATACTAGTTCCATCTTATTAAAATTGAGACAAGATAAAATTGTGTGATATGTGAATTTATGTATGAAAAGACTAAAGAAAACCAATGTTGGGGTATATTATTCCGGCCTACTATTGTTCAGAGGTTCGAGGCATCGCCCCGGTATGGAGCCCAGTCGGCGAGGTCCATTTAGGCCTACCCGGCCCATTTTGGCCCAACCGGCCCGTTAGGCCTACCCGGCCCATCTCGACCCAACCGGCCCGTTAGGCCCATTAGGCTAGCAAGTACACCCTCCCCCTTTCTATAAATAAGAGGCATTTGCTTCCATTTGGAGGAGGACTTCTCCCCTCCCTGCTGTTCCTTCTTCTTAGTTTCTAGATTAGATGAGCTCATAAACTTCATTAATGGAGGTTGCGATAATATGTACCATGTAAATGGTGAGGAGAGTATTAATGAGAAAGAGAGAGCTTGGACATTAGCCTAAAAAGTCTTGTGGTTTTCTCCCTTTCGGGTTTCCACGTAAAAATCGAGTGTTATATCATATTATACCTATATCTATTAGTTTATGTTGGACTAAACTCAACAACCAATAACACATAAATATCACTGTCTCCGTCCCATTTAACCTGTCTTACTTTCCTTTTTGGGTTGTCCCAAAATAAGTGGCATCTTTCCCTTTTTGGAAATAAATATGCGGTTCACAACATTTCACTTTATCATACTTAAATCTCAAACCCAACTTTTACCTTTTCAACCACTTTATTAAAAAGGGAAATTACCCAAAATAGGAGGAGATGACATTTGGAATTCCAAAAATAGGACTAGTATGTTTTTCATCCCGAAATAGGAGTTATTACTGTCATGTATGAAAAATACTGCCATGATTGAAGAATACTATCATTAATTATAATCAATACTGTAATGTTAAATGCACTGTACTGCAACTATTTGGCAGTCACGGCTACAAGATGACAGTAAATACTGTCATGTTAGTCCCATTTCGGGAATAAAAACAAAGTAGTCCTATTTTGGAATTTCAATTTTCATTTATTCCTATTTTGGGAAATCTCCCTATTAAAAATTGTGGCAAAATCAAACGGGACACGTAAAATAGGACGGAGGTAGTATCAAATATACAATGAGACTAATATATTGCACAATTTATAAGGTACACCCGAGTGTACCTATACATCCGAGTTTTTGTAACTCTTTACAACTTTCAGCCTAATTATGATAGGTCTGATTGAACTCTTTGCACCTTCTCTTTCGATGTTGCTCCCTACGCACTAGACATGAAATGTAATTACAATCTGATTGAAGTATCTTCATCACTCTATTTATGTCACGACCCAGACCACAATCTAAGCGTGTGTACAACCGCCGTATAATCGAGTGACGTCACCCGCGGGTCAACCTCACTTAATCACACAAGGCGTTCGAGAAAACAATACATCCTTACTCAGTAGTAAACATACATCACAACAACACAAATTAAACCATTGAATAGCGGAAATATTCAGCGGTAATTCATAGGCCACATTCGGCCAATAACATGGGCATGCAAGCCCAAAAGTAGTTTAAAACAATTAAAAATATCAATGAGCAATGTTTAGTAATTTGAAAGAACATGAGGAAGCACAAACCACGTCTTCCTTGAATTTGATGTCACCCGTAGAAAGGTGCAAGTAACAAGCCCTATCTCAACCTTAAAATGCCCCCCCCCCCCCCCCCCCGAAGGGGTCAGTACAGGTACCGAGCGAGTAACACGCTAAATATAGAATAACTAGCGTTTCAAGTATAAGACCCAAACATAGGGTGATACGTATGTAAATAGTCTTTCCCCCAAGTTAAGAAATACTTAACAGTATATATATACACTTGGAAAATACCCGATCCGTAGATCACCATTTTATTTGGGGAAAATAGTAATAGTCAATATTCTGGACTAAAAACCCCAACCCACCCATATATTTATGAGTGTATAGGACTCCTCCTTATCTTTATTTCAATATCATAATCTATGAGTTTTGAGGATAACATAATCCTTGGGTACTCCACCGATATATATATATTTGAGTGTTAAGGACTTTTAGTCCTAGGGTCTTCCACCAATTTATAATCCGAGTGCTAAGGACTTCAAGTCCTAGGGTCCTCCACCAATTTATAATATGAGTGTTAAGGACTTCCGGTCCTAGGGTCCTCCACCAATTTATAATATGAGTGTTAAGGACTTCAAGTCTTAGGGTCTTCCACCAATTTATAATATAAGTGTTAAGGACTTCAAGTCCTAGGGTCCTCCACCAATTTATAATATGAGTGTTAAGGACTTCAAGTCCTAGGGTCCTCCGCCAAATTTACAATCCTATGATCAACCACCTATCAACCTAGATAGACTCTATATCATATTTATTCATTCATAGCTAAATCAATTCATAAGGCTTGTGTATCTCAATCCACATGGGCGGATCCAGTAATGAAGAGTAGGGTGGGCTCAGCAGAAAGAAAAAATTGTTATTGCAAACAAAAGGTTTAGCTTAGGGGTGTAAGCGATCCGAGCTTAAGGAGCTTTTTTGAACTCGAACACGAGCTAAATTTTGAGTTCGAATAGTTATTCAAGCCGAGTTCGAGCATAGTGATATTTGGTTTGATCCGGGCTCGAGCCTGTCAATAACTCGTAAGTTATAAGAATAAATTTTATTTTATCTTAAAATTTAAACATTTTTGTTGAAAATTTTAAATCTATTTGAACACTAAAAAAATAGAATTAATACATCTATTTTATTCAAGCCGAGTTCGAGCATATATGAATAAACACTGTTTTATTATCTACTCAAAAATTCAATTAATAATCAAATAGAATTACATAACTATAAAAAACACTAATGCACAAAATAATAGATTAATACACAAATACACAATCACACATTCACAATTGGAGCAAATAACACATTCACACAATCATGCATAATAGATTAATGCTAAAAATTCAATTACTGCAAGTCGGCAAAGGCAATTGGAGTTTACCTAGAGGCTGGAGCCGGCTGGACTGCTGGAGGGAGGCGCAGAGGCAGAGCCGCACGCCCGCACAGGCGGACAGCCGGACAGGGATAGCGGAAGACGTAGACGGCGGCGCGACGCGGTTGATGGCCTGATGTTCAGGTCTTCGGTCTTCCTCGCAGTCCGCAGAGTCACAGGTTCACTTCACAGCTCCTAAGCCTTCATCCTCGTCACAAGTCTTCATTCGCGCAGCTCTAATTGCGTAGGCCAGGCGAGAATCTGGGGTGTGGGCTGTGGCCTGAAGAGCTGGGCTGGGATTTAATTTAATTTTGAGGTGGGCTCAAAATATAACATATATCTATACTACCTAATAAAAACATTGGGCTTGGCTGAAACCCACCCCTGCCCTCAAATAGACCCGCCTCGGTCAATCCATGCAAAGCCATGCATTTATATAAATTTATAATTAACTAATACCAACTGGTATTAATTAATCCATTATTCGTCGGTCAACGTTTTCGTTGATCGTCATTTCAAACCTTGTACGTCTCAACTTGATCATCATCATATAATTAAGTTAATAATATCCATTTGTGCTCCTCTTGCACTTCAAGCAAATATGTCTTTTTATATAATTCCTCATATCATATTTTATGCATAAACAATTAATTCCTTTCATACAAACTTAACCATGTTGGCTAATCACATGTTTAAATATCTTTTAAACATCATTATGAACACATATAACATTTATTTAGGTAATTTCATAATTAACCCAAAAGTTATAAGATATTAAGCCATCGACTCACCGTAAATGAGTTTTAGCGTGTTCTACGCTCCTCGGTTGAACTCCGGCGAAACTCCGACGAAACTCCG